GTTGAATTCAATTAGGGCGGCTTTAGCAACGGCTGCTGCAGACGGGCTCTGACTAAAATGGTAATATGCCGGAAAATTTGTCTATAATGCAGCGCAAGTTGAAAACCACATGTTTTTGAGAAATTATTGGAAGTAATAGTCAAATTAAGGCAGAAAAAGAAAAAGAGTAAGCAACCAATAGTCGAAACTGCTATTTGTAGTTTATACTACCGTGACTCAGCTGCTGGCTTCCGAGTCGTGATAGCCACCTTGACTTCGTCATCGCTGATCGTTCTTTCCGGCTGATAATGAATATAAGGCAGCAGACTTCGCAAACTTATCAGCATAAGTCCTGCAGCGCTCAAGTCTATCAAACCTAATTTTTTCAACAGCTCTGGAGGGTAGATATATTTTATCATTCTTTTGTAAGCTTACGGCACGAAATTGCAGTTCATGGATCCAGCCACTTCTGAAGGCAGTGTTTTGCCTAACCATGAGCAGGCCCGAATTCACTCGTCATCATTGGAGGTAAGTTTGTAAGCATTCAAGACAGAAATTAGCTGATTATTAAGAATTTCAGATGAATGCAAAAGTAGTGGAAGCACCTCCTGCTTACGAAGAAGTTGACACAACAATTAGCAGAGGCATAATTTCTACAGATTTTCCTGAGTCGATTGTAACGATAACAGCGCAGCCAACAAATGATTCCTGGTAAGGTACTCAGTTTGCAAACTCGAAAAAAGTGGAAGAAGAAAAAAGTCAATTTAGCGTGAATACGTGCTGTCATGCAACGTGCAATGCTGGAGAAGTGACAGGTTAGATTTCATAGTTATTTCAAAGTTTGAAATTTTAGCAGATATTAACTTGCAGGCAAATGCGCTAAATGCAAACAACGAGAAGCCAAAGAAACTGCTGTTTGTTGTATAAACTTTTGCACTTTTACTTTTGCCCTAATTGCCCTATGTCTCAAATGATCATCGAAGATTTTTTCTCTTATTACTAAATCTTATTGAAAAAAAAATCATTTGCTGGCTTTGTATAGATGGTATTTGATGTAAAACGTTGTACATAGAAATTTCTTATCAATAAATTTGAGACAATAACTCGTCAGAAATTTGTGGATCCTCTTGTCTAATTGAAGAAAGCTCAAATACGAGAGTCTACGAAAAACCTGGAAAACATTCGGTTTCAGTGTTAGTGAAGAAAATCGGAAGCAAAACTGGTTGTCAAAATGACTAATCCCAAAATTAGAATATCCAAACTAAGATATGTCTTATATGGAATCACTTTCAATTTATTTTTTTCTATAAGGGAGTTATTATTTAAATATCATCCAGAAAACACTGCATTGAGCCAAGATGACGCTAGACCTCTGCATCACATGTGGATGACAGCTCTATCTATTCTGAGCAGCCTCGGGATTGTTTACTAATCAAATCCAAACATGATGCGCCGTATGAAAAGGGCTGGCTCTCTCTTCACCAGTAAATGCCAGGAAACAGCTGAGTCCCCGCCTATTCGTGGTATAGTGTTGTTGGAATTTCTCAGTAATTGATATTGGCAAGAACTCTGCAATGATCGGACTAGGGCTACAAATAGCTAGAAAGGCAAA